AGGTCATTAATTCACAGGGCTGCTATAAACTGGAAGTGACTTGACAGCAGTTAACACACACTGCTTCTCTATTAGTGCTTAAAAACAGCAGAGGGCCTTACTGCCATTTGTCTGTAAATGTATTGATAGAGCACTAATGAAGAAGTAAGGGATGCTTCTGAGCTGTGGTTTGCTCTCAGCCAGAATTGTCAGTCTATAACTGAAGCTAAATGAAACCCTAAAGATCATTATGGGTTTAGCTGTTCCTCTTCCAGAAGGGCCTTGAGCACACAACTGGGTTTCTCAATTGTCATTTGCCAGCCCAGAAAGTATTTAAATTATTTCTTACTTACCAAGTAGGCTTCCTAACTGGCTCACCCATGCAGCAGCCTACTGGAATTAATTAGTCCTCTCACCTGCAGAAGAGTTCCCCTTGCCCTAGAGCAATGGCAGCAATTAACAAGCCCCTGGGGCTTCCAGCCATTAAAACCCCCCATGGCTTCAGAGGGATAGTTACTCTTTTATATTTTAAAGAAAGCTTTTACAGAAAGTCTGGGAGAGAAAAGGTAAGATCCACATATTTTATTAAAGAGAGTGCTTTAAATAATATAATGGCTTCTTTTTGTGAAAGAACCATGAGTTCTTCTCTAGCCTAAAAAAAGTCTAATGTTTATCATAGAGAGCCAGTATGGTGTAGTGGTTAAAGTGTTGAACTAGGATTTGGATAAACCCAGGTCTGAATCCCCACTCTGCTATGGAAGCTTGCTGGATGACCTTGGGCCAGTCACACACTCTCAGCCTAACCTACCTCACAGGGTTGTTGTGAGGATAAAATGGAGGAGAGGGAAAACAATGTAAGCTGTTTTGGGTCCCCAATGGGGAGTAAAGGAGAACCTCTGCATTGTCTTAATTATCTGACTCAGTTACTGAATGCTAGAATATTGAGGAATTTTCCCACCCATGTGGCTTGCTCTAAGTAACACTTCATTTGCTTGAGTGTTCTTTTTAGAAAGGTGGGTGGGGCAAGGTTTCAATACCTGTGAGATAACTGTGTGCAGCTGTTGCCATTGTGAACTGATATAGTAGTGGATTTGTATAAGGGCCATAGAAAGAAGAAATATGGTTGAAGACTTTGACATTTGTCTGGGAGCTATGGTTTGTTTTTAGAGGTAAATAGTTATGATGGTTGTAACTTGGTAGTGCATACTTGGTTTCTAATAGCTTGTAATTTCTTCCCTCCCTTTCCTGAGTACAGAGCAAGTTGATTGGTACTGCAATTCTAACAGGAAGCTCTTATTTTTTGCTTAGAGTTCATAAATAAAATGTAATATTCTACCTTAAAGAAAACCTGTTTTCCCCCCGAAGTGTTTGTGGCTTCTTGATTACAGCTGATTACTGGAACGATTGACAAACTTCTCTGTGACTACTATATCAGAAACTTATGCATGATCTGTAGTGATATTTACCTTGAACCCTTGGATATTGCTGTTGGAAATGGTTTTCTTAAGGTGTGGTGGAGTTTCTCTTTATATGAATAGAGACAGGCAATAATTGAATCCTTATCTGTCTTGCTTACGAAGAATAATGGAAAGTGTAGTAAAATGGTGCACTGAACTTGGTGGGACTTTTTTTGAGTAAGCATGCATCATGTAGCATTCTGACTTACAAATTACAAATGGATGCCTTTAGACTAAATGTTGAATGGAGTGACTTCGTATGTCTTGTTCAACTTCTTGCCTCTGTAAAGTCATGTAAATTGTGTGGGATAGACTGGTAGTCTCTTTAAATGTTTGATATATGTTCTACTTGGCTGAAAGAGGACTCTGAAAGCTAGTAAAGAAATGGAGGTGGGGAAGCCACATTTGTGACTACTGAACTGCCAAAGCTGTTCCAAAGCCTTATAGAGGAAGGGGAGAGAGAGATTAATTCAACTCATACATCTAAGAAGCAGGTTCTTCCAGGATCTTTGCTGTAGATTGTGATAATGTGTGAGTTAAATATCATGATGTGCAAGATACTTTTTCCTGGACTGTCAACTCCACGTATATTGTCAGTACGGAAGAAGCAGATACATTAATCTGGCACCTCGATTCATGTAGCATTCTGAGAACTACAACAGTTAATTAAAGATCAGGCTAGCTTATGCTAGAAAATCTTCCACTTCATTACAAAAGCTTTTTTAAAACAGGTAATGCTGGGCATGGTTGCTGAGCTAGCTTAGAAAAGGATATATTGTGGGCAGTGTTCCCTCTAAGCTGAGTTAGTGTGAGCTAGCTCACAGTTTTTTAGCCTCCAGCTCACAGATTTTTGTCTTAGCTCAGGAAGGATGGCTCCAGAGCAAACTAGTTTCTGCAGTAGCCAAATCGCTCACTCACAACTTTAATGCCAGTAGCTCACAAAGTAGAAGTTTTGCTCACAAGACTCCACAGCTTAGAGGGAGCTTTTTGTGGCCTACGTAGCAAATGTATGGGCAGTGGGAGTTCAGCAGTGAAAGGGGAAACACATAATGTCTAGCTGCACTTAACTTATTCAGTGCTGTCAACAGCCTTTGACTGGAAAGGAGGCATGTTATGTTACTGTGCTGAAACACTTAAGCCAAGAGCTCTTAAGATGTAAAGCCAGTATATGCGTGTAGCTTTCATTGGTACAACAAACTTCGTTGCTCTAACCAAGCAGTATGCAGGCCCTAGCCTCTTTTTATACATTACATTAAATCTGTTGTAGCTCTTTATGTGCTTATTACAATTGCTGTATTTAACCTATATTCCCCTTGTGTGTTAGTACTTTAATTAACTTGCTTTGAATCAAATTCTATTAAGTTCCTTAGAACCTCTTAATCCTCACTTAATTACAAGCTCAATTTTTTCCCCCTCCACAGTATTTTGTTTCGCCATGATACCCACCCGGCTATTGGCTCAGGGTGGGCTTTGAATCTATATCTAAATGACTGATCATGTTAATTATTTTAAAACCTCAGTTTTTAAGAGGGGTTTTAGTTCTTGCTTTTCCCAGAAGTTATAAATTGTAAAACAAGGAAAAATGAGCTAAGAACTGATTTGTGTTTTCTACAACCGTATGGCTGCTGTCAATAAGCACACAATCTAAAGGAGAAGTGTTCCAAGAGTGGGTGTGTCCTCTGGTGCATGTCATTGGCTACACAGGGTTGTGACGTCACGTGTCGCATGTCATTGGCAAATATACCGACGAATGCAGGGAGATGCACACTTCTCAGCCATATGTGTTTACCATTGCAAAGACTGAGGTACCCCAGAGGCCACAGAAAGTGTGACACTTTTTGTTTATCAATGTTAAATAGCACATAACACTGGAGTTTTGTGACTGGACTACCAGATTGCAGTTTTAACACTAAGGAAGGGGATGTAAACTCTGCATAATTTCTGCATAATTTCTCTGACTGAAAGTGGGTTGCTTTAAATCCCAGTGGGTAAAATGAGTGGCATCTGTATTGTGCCTGCCTTTCTCCATATTATGGCTTAGAACGGCCAGAGAGGTCACATTTGCAATAAGTGAGGGGACTATTAACCCTCCCCTTTCCCAATCAACGAAGCTCTGGTTCATATCTCCCCCTCCAACATATTAGTGCCATGAATGAACCAGGTGCTGTGGCTCAGTGGTAGAGCATCTGCTTGGCATGCAGAAGGTCCCAGGCTCAATCCCTGGTATCTCCCGTTAAAAGATCTAGCGGTAAGTGATGTGAAAGTCCTTTGCCTGAAACCTTGGAGAGCCATTGCCAGTCTGAATAGACAAGTCACAATACTGACTTTGATGGGCCAAGAGTCTGGTTCAGTATAAGGCAGTTTCATGGGTTCCTATGGTTGAGGAATATAAATGTGACAACTGAAGAAAGGATTCCCTGCATTGTGGGTCAGTGAGAAGGAGCCACTGCGGTATGGTCTAGGGTTGCCAAGTTTGATTTTCGCCGCAGCGGGGGACTCCCGGCTGGTGGCTGGAGCGCGCGTGCTGCATCCACGTCACTCAGAAGTGACGCGACCACGCCGGGCATGCTGGGGGCGGGGTCACGACCATCCGAGGGAAAACCATAGAGTTTTCCCTCAGATGACTGTGGCCCTGCCCCCAGTACGCCCGGCGTGGTCGCGTCACTTCCGGGTGACGTGCACATCGGGGTGGGGCTCCCCCTGGGGCCCAATCCGCTGGTGGCGGGGAACGGGCCTCTGGGGCGGGGGTTTCCCCGCCCCCAGGGGGGACTTGGCAAGCCTAGTATGGTCACCCCCAAGGTTAAGTTCAGACATATAGCAGAATGCAGCATCGCTTTTTGGTACTTGAAGACAAGTGGCAGAGAAAAGGCTCTGGGGAAGAGTATATTCATGAGTAGCTCTTGACTACATCTTCAAAAGCCAGCCTAGAATGGAAGATTCTATGGCAGTTGGGAGGACTGTTCCGAGGCCTGGGAGGGAGAATAAGAAGTTATCTACTCTGGCTAAGGGTGTATACCTAGGCAACGTATTTCATCCCTTAGCAAATACCTTGGGCGTTTATACCCCACGTTACCTTAATAAATATAACTGGTATGCATTCAAAAGAGCACAATTTCTAATCGGCAATTCTTCCTCTAGCTTCTGTTGCAGACCCCTCCCCCATGCTTCTGACCTTGGATATCTGTGGTCACATGGCACACCAATGCACCATGCTTGCTGAATGTGGATCAATTATTTGGCAGCATGACTTCATTCATGTTTTTATGCAGGCAGTAAGAAATTACTTTTTCTCAGAGGGTTAAAGATGGTTTGGAAATGGGATTGCTCCTCATATAGACATCCCAGCATAACCTCTTGTATGGTTTCAAAAATGTCTTTGAAAGAAAACAGTGGTCCATAAGAAATGTGCGTGATTCTTTCCAGTAGTTTTCAATTCCTTAAAAAGCATTGTCTTTCTGGAATAAAGTCATAGAACGAATCAATGTATTTTCCAAACACTTTCCTTTACAGATTGTCTGATGAAGACACTGAGGTCTAAGGCAACGGAAGCTGCACAGAGAAAAGATGACTGCCCCAAATGAGCAACATATGGCAACTGTCAATCCTCCCCCTCCAAAATACATCAATACCCAAGGAACTGGTTGTTTGACCAATCAGCTTCAATATTTGAAGAGGGTAGTTATGAAAGCCATGTGGAGACATAACTTTTCCTGGCCATTTCATCAGCCAGTGGATGCTGCAGGACTAAAACTTCCAGTAAGAGCACTGCCATCATTTCCTTTTACAGAAACCTTAACAATATTTAAGGAAAACAAAGCAAATGTATCTTACTGTGCCATCTATCTTCAAGTAAGGATCTCTTGTCAGGGATATCTGCCTTACTTCTCACAATTCTCTGGCTTCTTTGATAGCTGTGGTCACATGAAGGCGAACTTTATTAAGTACTCCTGTTTAGCTATTTTTGGCATTTGCCTTCAGCACATGTTCCTGGGAATATGTTCGTTAGTGCTGAGATGTTCTGAAGAACAATTAATCTTCCCTTGTGTGTTTTATATAGAGGGATGTTTTTCCAGCTTTCTCTATAAGCATTCAGAAACAGGTTAAAACAATTTGTGTTTCTCACAACTGACATTAAAGTCAATATGTAGGTGCTTTCTGGAGATACTGAAGGAGATCTGAAACAATAAACAATAATGAAAGTGTATAACTCATAGTTGGATAACCATCCAAATTTTGTTTATTAGACCCAAATATCAGGAAAAAACCAGTGTTTTTAAGAAAGTATGAACTCCCAACCTTATGAATTTTAAAATTTGTTCTTGTTGATTAAAATTGGCTTTCACCAATTTTAAGCAGCTGAAGGTTTAGTTACTTGAAATCTGCCTGCGTCAGCTTGCAGCTAACAGCACGTGCTAGCTATTCCTTTGTCATAAGCACCGAGTCACAAAGAATCATGGAGGAACTCTCCCTTAAGAAGTCAAAGTTGTGAGGATGTCTTGGAATAGACTTCTTTAAAGCATCTGGAGGAACCGCCAACTAGGGGTGCCATGTGCCCACCAGCATTCCAGTGGCTGGTGGGTAAAAAAAAACTTTAATTGGCGATGGTGTGATGTCACTTCCAGAAAAAACTGGAAGTTATGTCAGTCCTCTCTAGGAATTGCCATAACCTTTATGGTTTTACAATAGGAGTTCTGGTAATTCCTAGAGAGGTACAAGGTTTCCATCTTCCAGGTGAGACCTGGAGATCTCATGGAATTACAACTGATCTCCAGGTTTTCCTGGAAGTAAACGTCATGTGTCGCTGACGGATGCCTCTCCCCATCTCCTTGCCCTCCCGATTTCCCACTGGTTGCCAGGATGGGCTAAGAAACTTACTGCCAACACTTCTCTGTTCACGTGAATATTATTACACATATTACACACATTACTCTTATCCTGTTAAGGGACATGTGTATTCAGTCTGACACTGGAGAGGCATTTGATTAAACACTGACTTTTATGTAGTGACAGATGGAGACTGCAGGGTTTTCTTTCTTCATTCCAGAAGACTGTGTTCAACCCTGAAACCAGTTACACCCAGCACCACTTAATCTAATTAAGTCTACAACCTCCTGCACAATACAGGCCTTCCTATTATCGCCTAAAATTACCCCTGCCCTCAATTATTGTGTATTTAACAGCTAGACAGATCTATAGGTCATGGAAGCTTGCACACTATTTTGTGACATTTTGGTTGATCCTAAAAAGAGAGTTCCATCACTGTTTCTTGAAACGTTTCTGTGGGACATTGACTGTTCGTGTTGTTAAATCTGGTTTGTGTGTGTAGTACAGGTGGTTTTTCTTGGGGTAAAAGCTGGGCAAATGTGTACACAATCACAAATTAATGACAAAGTAATGTGTAACCAACCCCATATATATATCTTCTGAAGACTTAACAGTCTTTAAAAGTTTTAATTGGGGCTTTAGTGTGTCATATTTCTTCTGAAATCTCCTTATGACCATACTGAATTCAGGGCTGTAGTTTGCATGGGGCCTTCGGGGCGATGCCCCCTCCTGAATTCGCAACACCCCTGAATCATAGAGCCCAGCCAGGGATTTCTTCTGCCACGTCTGCTCAAGTGTGGTTTCCAGCTCCCTTGGATAAGCCGGCAGTGGCTGCCACCCATTCTTGGTAGAGCAGCTCTTCCCCCTTGTACCCTCCTTCCGGAAATGCGCTGTTCTCATCATCGGCACATTTCCAGAGTAGCCAGTAGCTGCATGTCTTCATCAGAGCCCCTTGCTTCCTGTTTCCCACGGTCGGCAGCAGAGCTTCTTGCTTTTCTGTTTCCCACCATCTGTCTGGGTTAGAAATCCTCCTCTGAATTTTTTAGAGTGTAATATATTTTAAAATATCTATCTTTCTAATAGGTTAAAATGAGCATGTTTTAGATGATAATTTGCTAGGAGGAAGATGATCAAACTGGATTATATTGTATATGATCTAGGCATATAAGTGCCTTTTGGAAGTTAATAAGCAAGAACTACCTCATTCTTTTTTCACTGTTCTCTTTCAAATTCTCTGTTATACGAACACACCAGGACCAAAGTGATGAAAATGACTCTAACTTTCTTCCTTCAATTCAAATTTTGAGCTTGCTGGTTTTAGAATTGCCCCTCTCAATTCATCAACTGAAGTTCTAATTCATGAATCTTCCAATTAGCTGCTTAAAGTCCACGAGTCATAATTGATATCCGTGTTGACTAATGCTCTCAGCCTTTTTCTCAGGTCTATTCTGTAACTACCCAGAATATTCACGCTTCCTCTATAGGACTCTCCATCACAATATTCATTCTTTGGCTTCAGGTATTCAGTTAAAACTAAAGCCTTCAGTCATGTTTCTGTTTTCTTGACAAACTCGAGTGGTCAGTTTGTCCAAAAGCGCTTTCAAAGTGACTGTCACTTTACATTTCTGGTATTGCATCTCAAGAGACTCTTGTCACTCGAGGTTAATATTAGAGGTCATTCACTCAGTGCAGTTGCAAAACTAGGCAGCAGCCCCAGCCAGTTCAGCCTCTTCAATTTCTGAGGCAGCCACTTAAAATTTATTCCATATACACATAAGAGCATTATAGCATTAATTTTGGCTTGTACACGTCTACTAACTTGTGTGTGTATGGGAGAGAGGTTACAAGCCTCATTTCCCATATATCCTTCCTCCACCCACAATCTGGCTGATAACCTGGATTCAATAATATTTGCAGGAAAGAGCATGAATGCTGCATTGTAGATATGAACAGCAATTCAGGGTGCCACTATGAACAACCCTAAAATGTGTGCGTAACTCTGTAATGACCCACAGTTAGAGGATGTCTATTCTCAATATGTTGTCGAAGGCTTTCATGGCCAGAGTTCATTAGTTGTTGTAGATTTTCCGGGCTGTATGGCCGTGGTCTTGGCATTGTAGGACCTGACGTTCTGCCAGCAGCTGTGACTGGCATCCTCAGAGGTATAACACGGAAAGATGTAGTAGTCTTCCTCTTCTTCTTCCTTGACACCGAGAGTACTCCATCTCTCTGTGTTATACCTCTGAGGATGCCAGTCACTGCTGCTGGTGAAACGTCAGGTCCTACAGTGCCAAGACCACAGTCATACAGCCTGGAAAACCTACAACAACTAATGTCTATTCTCACTTTGCCACACATGCATTAACTATAATTAGCTACTAACTCTCTTAAGAAACAACTCTAATGTTACATTCTGAATATTACTTAAAGAATTTAGCAAATGCTGTTTGTCCAAGGAAGAAAAGCACTCCTCTCCTAGAGAAATCCTTTCCTCTCTTCTTTAGAACTTGTGTGAATATGGTAGTGAACAGAATGCCTTGTTCAAATCAAAGTCAAATACCTTTAATGGCATAGCAGTAAGATACATAGATGTACAATAACACGGCATGGATATATAAGACATAAGCAATATGAATCAATCCTTTACTAGAATAGATCTATCTTTGACTACTTCGGCAAGAAACTTGGCCACTATAGTTGTAATATTAGGATTATTTTTTATTTTATTTAACATTCGACTTTATATCCCGCTCAAACCCCCTTATCCAGGGGGTCTCTGAGCGGCTTACAGGTCGGTGCTAGTCACCATTTTTATCCCCTGACTAGGGCCACATATTTATACAGGGTGGGGAAACCTACCAGCACCCTTATGGTGGTGGTTGGTGTTGTTCTTCATCCGGCTCAGGTGTAGGTGGTTTCCCTGGCGGGGTGCTCCTCTTTGGCGCTCGGTGGTGACTTTCTCTTCTTGAGGCGCACGACTCCCGCCTCCTTCCGGCCTCAGCAACGTCCTTTTCCGGCTCCGCTGTGCCGGCGCTCGACGTCATCGCGCGCCCTTTCCTCGGCGGCGGTCGCACGATGTTTCTTCATCCAGCCACCAGGGATCGCTCCTCTGGCTGCACCCGCTCGCCGCCGCTGCCGCCATCTCACCGCGCCGCGCCATCGCACTGGAGCCGATGTCTCGCCACCGCCGCCATCCTCAACCACCACGCTAGGCAGGGTGCCCCTCACCCGACTAAGGGTGGGTACCCATTTATCTACTTACAATTAAGTTGCTTTCGAACCGCTGGGTGGGCAGGAGCTGGGACAAGGGTCGAGAGCTCACCTCGACCGCGGTGGTACTCGAACAGCCATAGTGGCTGCTCGAATGGTGTTACTGAGCAGGCATTTAACTGCCTGCGCCACCGCTCCCTTAGCATCCTTTAGTAGATTTTGAATAACTTTTTCCCTATTAGAACTATAATTAGGAGGAAATAAAGATGACAACAATTCTTTGCGTAAGAATTGAGTGAAATTGACAGTCAAAAATAATATGATATATTGACTCCACGGATTTTAAAGGACGAGAACATAGCCTTTCATGAAAGGGAATTTTCTTAAACTGACCTGAAAGCTCTATTGAAGGGAATACATTTAGTCAGGCTAGTGTAAAGGCTGTACGGTGCAAAGGCTGGACTAAGTTGTGAAGACCTTGTTCAAATCTTTCCTCAGCATGAAACTCATTTGCTGGTGTCAGGTAAGGCATTATTTTGTGGGCTACAACTCTCGTGCCTGCTCAGTTCAAGAAGTGTTGGAAGGATTACTGATAGACGATGTACATGAAGTACTAGAATCTGGCTGTATAAATGCAACTTTCCTCCCACATATATGTAATATCTGGCCATTTTATTCCTTCTGGTTGAAAATTGAATTAAATGCTTTTTGAACAGGACAACATTTTGTGCATACAATAATAGGTTATCTACATCCTACAAAACTAGTTGTTAATTCATTATGCTCTCATATTTCCCATTTTTCTTTTTTTAAAAACCCTCCACAAACAGGATTATTATGATATTATTACAAAACCAATGGATTTGACTACAATTCAGAAGCGTCTGGAACACAACTATTACACATGTGCTGCTGAGTGTATCAAAAACTTTAAAACTATGTTTTCAAATTGTTATCTGTATAACAAGGTATGTACTTGAAATATGCAAATTCAAATTTCTAGAGGTCAGTTTGGGCTATAGCACTGTGATGGGGGTAGAAAATGGGATCTGTCTTGCTTCCTTTTTCACTCTAATACTTGCATAATACTTGCATATGTTCTAAGTGTTCAGTAGGATAATTTCCCTGTAGTGCTGTGTTTCCCAGCTTTGGGGCTAGGTGAAACTGATTAATAGCATCTGTCCCTTTTGAGCTATAAATCTCGGAAATTGTGCCCCATAGCACTGAGGTTGGAGTGCAGTTGAGAGACTTCCGGGAAAACTTGGCTCTGTAGGGCTCTGCTGTCTTGGGCTAGAAGCTATATGCAGACTGCTTGTTTCCAATCATCCTAATGCCGCTGAGTGGAGTGAAGGCTTATAGCTGTGCTCTGCCATCATTCTGCCAGGGCCCAAAGACAACATGAAGAGAGAACTCATGCATAGCTCTCATTCTGCTTCTTTGGAAGGGTTCCCCATTTTGGTGTGACAAGGGGAAGGCTGTATTTTTCTGTACCCCTGGACTTTTCCCTAAGTAAGCACAGGTCTCCAAAATAGTTGGGTACATTTTGGTTCCTTAGTGGCTCGCAATGAGGGGTGGTGGTGGGTGGGTGGGTAATTTTTACTATTGGAAGGAGCAGGCTGGGAGAAATCCATGATGGACTGGGGAGGGAATATATGACCTGGAAATCCCCACAACCAATTTTTCCCCGGGGGGGGGGGTCTATAAACTCAAAGGCTTGAGAAAGCCAGCTTCTCCTCCCTTCCCCCCAAACATGGAATGTTCTCAACTACCCATTCCTCTTGAAATATCTCAGTCTCTATTTATTGCAATCCAAGATCAGCCTTTTGAAGCATGCTCAGTCTTCAACGAGCTGTCCAAGATTGGAGTCTTTTGCCCAATTTTCTTTCTTTTTTTTCTTTTTTTTTGAGCCCCCGGAGGGGATTTTTTATTATTTTTTCCAAACTACAAAAACTATCACAGAAAAAGGGAAGGGGGCCTACATATACGGGACAAAGTATAGAAACCCACTACTGACTAAAAACCCAAGAGAGGAGATCCTCACTAGTTTCATTACATCAAGTCTTCACTTCATTTAGATCAATATAAACTGAGTCAGACATTTAAGTACTTTTTCCTTTTCATTAACTCTTAAAACTTAACTGTCTAAGAACAGTACCCCCCAGTCATCCCCATTCACAGTTCTCAAAGGCACAATTCAGAGTCTTTCAGCCTTTACTTCTCTTTTCCTCGTCTCTTCCGCAGCTTATAAGGACTTTTTGGGGCAGCTGCCCCTTGCTCCGTCAGAGAGTCCTCTCTGGAAGAACCCGAGTCCCGCCACTAGACTTGCTGTCCTCTTCTTTTTTCCCATCCTGGAAATAGCCATTTATATCAAATTGAGTTTGTCTGAAGGAAAAGCACAAGCTCTTTGTACTTCTTTCTCCGTTGTCTTGCTTCAAATGGAATATCCTTTAGCGTTCTGATAGTATTTTCCCCCACTTTCAGTGGTACTCCAGAAACCGCTTTCAGGATTGCATCCTTCTCAAGAATCTTATAACAATTTCCCCAGGCAGATTATTTTTCTTTATATAGCCTGAATATGATCGATAGACCACATCTATATCGCTCAGCAATGCTTCACAATAATTTGAATGCAATTCCATGAATTGAATAAAACTCCACGTAACAGAAAAGGGAGCCGCAAGAAGCAAAATAATAATAATAATGCATGTACTTCCTGCATGCCTGA